TAATTATGAAACAAGAGATTCCTCGAAACCCAACTTTTCTTCGTATACATTTTACTTTGCCTTAATATTACTTGAACAGTTCGTGAAGCAGCCTTCTCTTTTGAAAATCCCTGATATTACAGTTAATGGAAGCTAACAGGAGGGAAAAATGTAAATGCCACGGCGTCAGCGGCAGCTGCTCCCAAAAAGTCTGCTTCCCTCAGCTACAGCGCATCGACACACAGGTCGTTCAACAGGCCCTGAAGAAACAATATCTGGTACGTTGCCATACAGTTTCTCTTCTACTTGTCTCTTTGTTGAGTCAATTAACATTGGCTTTCTTGACGGAGGGCAGGATAGCCAAACGTGTACTGCATGTTCGACAGCTCCGATGATCTGGCAAAACCGTAATTAAAGGATCATTGGTCTGCGTTAACCCCATTAATGATTTCCTCATGGATCCCGTTTAGCCAGTCATTGAGCAAGTCATGGAGCTCGAAGGAAGTTGAAAAAGTCAACCTTCACTTCGTGATAGTAACGTATTTTGACACAAAGAGAGTTTTGTTCAGCATAAATATCGACTCGAATTTATATTTTGAAGAAAAAAAATGGTATGGAAGGAATTTGTAAATAGTTCGCATTGAAGCAGAAAAAGGATCTCAATGGATTGAAGAACTCTGGATTATGCAAAGACGCCTTCAGTTCATGGCTCTTTGACTTCGGTGAATCCGTGCTAAGCTTTCGCCTCTACTGACAGGCGTAGTAAAAGTAAGAAACAAAACTAGATAATCGAAGGTATGAAGATCAAGATGGTGTGGCCTTTTGTGTGGTCGCAGTCCCTTTCATTGTATAGAAGTTGTTTGACCTTGTTTTCGCAACTTGGTCACATTGGTAGGAAGACTTAAAGGAACGCACCTTGTCCGGAGTCCATTGTATGCATCATCATTTCCAGAGTAGGACCGTGGACGTGGTTCATTCCCAGACGTTTCACCAGCGTCATAGTCGGCATCTTCAGTGACGCAGGGGAGGGAGAATAATGCCTCGAGTGGCACAAATGGGGTGGCAGGGGTTGAGTGAAATATGGGAACCAGGAAGAGGGCAGACGGATGTTATAGGGCAAGAGAGAGACTGTGGTAAGACCTATTGAAGGAGGACTGCGTAACAATATGGCATACTCTGATCAACATTCCCAGCACAAGGATGAAGGGGGTGAGAAGGCCAGCATGGAGTGCGGAGGGTTCTCATGAAAACCGCTAAAAATAGCACACTGTACCACTTTTAATTGAGCCATTAAAAAATGGTGACAGTGAAGGCGTGATAGGAGGATATAGGAAATGTAATAGGCCAGGGCAGAGGGGGAGATACCATAACTGTTTAGCACACGTTTGGCCAAAGGATCGGCTTCACTTGTCTATTTGCGAGTTGTTGTGTGGTGCTAAGACTGGCGAGACTCACTGTCACTGCCGACCTCGACGTCTGGGAATGTACCACGTTCACGGTCCGACTTTGGAAATGATTATGCATTCAATGGACTTTGGACTAGGTGCGTTCCTTTAAGTCTTCCTACCAATATGACAGAGTTGCGAAAACAAGGTCAAACAATTTTAAAAATAGACTAAATAACACACTTATATATTAAACCAAGATAATAGGCGGCCAGATGCTTAATTTTACCTTCTCAATGGATTATCCAATGATTTAGATGGTCAAGAACTTCTTCGCATAGTCAAACAGCAATCACTACTTCGGTTTCCGATGAAACCAATTAACGAATTCCTTCCAACAAATTTGTGTATCAAAATGGAATGTCGAGTCTCACCAACTTACCAAAGAAGTCTTCGAAACCCATTTATTAATAATCTACATCAAAAAAATTTAGCGACGGTAGAAAAAGGCCACACATTTGGTTACAACTCCGCCAAACACATTTAAGACAAGTTCTAAATATTCAAGCACCTAGTTTAAGGGTGATTTAAGCGAATTCTTGACTCTCGACCACCTGTACGAATTGCAGGCCCCCAGAACTCGGTTTTTCCAGAAGTAAGCTGGCTGCGGCTTCTTGAGGATTGCATAATCCTGTCTCGTCAGCTCCAGGATTAGGTGAAAGATCCGAACACCTAACTTAAATTTTCTATATCAAAATAAGGCCGGCATGACAGTAGAAAAACTAACAAAATCCTATGAAAACCGATCTATAGGATATATCGGGGTAATCCTAGCACATCAGGAGAGGCTAGAAACAGAGACAAGGTCCCAAGAGCAAACCATGCTTATGTATTATAGTCGACCAAATCTCAGAAGGCGTCGGTGTTTGTGAGATGTACCAAACTGTCTGATTAAACAAAATAGATTTTTTGTCAGTCAGAGAATCATAATTGAGCCGGGTTTGCAAGCCGAGTTTCCTTCCAACACTTGTCAATAATTAGCTATTAAGTACTATTGTTGGTACTTTCATTTCGTATGAAAGTGTAAGAAATAGAGATTCTAAGGTCGATCTCACCAGAAGAAGACGGTTGAATCCCGTTGTACTGCAGCAGTTTGGCTTTAATGCGACGTTGAGATTGATGCAGTCCACGAGAACTCCTTCTTTTCAAGTAAAAACGGGCTGACCTTTCGTTTATCATATGATGGACATCATCAGAGCTGGGACTCATGTTTGTAAAATTCAATTCCGGTTCACTTGAAACACAGAAGCTCACAGGATTAACTTTACAGCGATTTGGAGGACAAAATGACTATTTGGCTGATTGCTTGAAGGTCATAAAAAGAACTCGAGTTGAAACTAGCTCCACTTTACTGGACAGATGATGTATGAAGTGGTATTTCAGGTACCAAACTAATACGTTTTGACTTAAAGCAAATAAATGTAAAGGGGCAGCTAATAAAGAATAAATAAATTTAGCGCAAAGACGGAGCACAGAGGGGAAAAGGCCACTAAGCGAGAAAGAAGATGAGGGAGTTAGGAAAGATATACCAAGAAAGAAAGCATAAAAAGAAGTAGGAGGTAAAATAGTCGTGATAATATCTCGCGAATACAAAAAGCAAAATGAAACTGTGAATAATGCTATAGGCTGGGGTGTCCACATCAAGTGTATCCGTATTTGTTGCTTATGACCATTTGGTCCTTTTTATTCAAAAAGTTATCATGTGCTTCTCTGCGCAGGTGCCTATCAGGCGTCGAGAGGTAATTGCATTTATCCATAAAAATAACTTTAAAATATTTCTTTTCAAATAGGCTGCGAAGAATGTGTTGAAGGACGAGAAAGGCCCTCTCATGGTCAATACTTTTCGGGATCGAGGGTTTGTCAAGGAGCTCGCTAAAATGGAGGATCTCGTCTATAGTGAGTCCTCACCAGACTACTGCAATGTGGAGCCAGAAAGAGGTTCTGTGGGAACAAAAGGCAGGTGAGTGATGTGGCTTTTAGGCTTTTTGCCATGGAGTAGACCTAAGGCTGTCACTTGCTCATGAAATAGGCTTTATAGTTGAATTATCCGGCACATTTCGGGGAACAAAGGTCAGCATTTTATAAATTACCTAGCTTGGTCTGAAAGGTATCCTGCCTGGTTTTGAGGAGAAGGGCGAATTTCCAAGAACGTGATTAAAAAAGGCTGAATTTAAGAAGATTTTGCCACTTGCTTCGATAGAGCTCATTATCTAAAACGGCTAGTTTGGATAATTTAACTATAAAATTGTACGAAAATGTAGTCGCTCTCGGACTGTGGAGACCTTCCGACTAATCTGCTATAGAGTAATGCAAAAGAGCTTCTGACTCTTTGGTTCAACTTTTACTATGGGCATGTTAGTAGGCCGAAAATAAGATAGACTAGAGAAATAAAGAAAAGTAAGTATCCTATTTTCTATATAAAGTAGCTTAAACAACTTTAAGTAATTCTTGGATAAGAGCCTAGTCATCTTAGGCTGCATAAGACTATTTAAGGACTGATAGCTGAGTTTTACTACAATTAAATGAAATTAAATGGGATCTTGAGTCCGACTTAACTTTATGTGGGAGAATTCAACTATCAGTCTTTAAATAGCCTCTTGCGACCTAAATCGATAAGGCTATTATTAAATGATAAGTAGCACATAAAATGGATGATAAGTATGAATTAATTTTGTTTTATTACAGACTTAAGGATAGAGAGAAGCAAATCAGCCATTTACAGAAAGGCCAGTGCAATTTACATAGTCTTTTCTGATGCGTTATTAGCATATATTCCATACATTTGATATCCCACATGAATATCATTGTCTCGGCCAGGCGGACCTTTTTTATTATGCAATCTTACATAAATACATACATAAATACATACTTGCATGCATGCAAGCCTACATTCTTGCATGCATGTATACACATATGCTCACAGTACCCTCATAAATACAAGTACTCATAGATGCAGACAAAACTGTCAAAAAGATATACACACATACACACAGGCACACATGCGGACGGACCTAAAGCCTGCAAAACCGAATTATTTGTTAACTTTTTAATGAATAATTTTATTATATATATATATAATGATGGTAGGGCAGATGTGGTTATCTTTCAGGACTCTTTGATGGTACTGATTTAACGCAGGAATGGTGTTCCGTTCTGTAATCGTCTGTCGAATTTTAGATTAATCCCGATAAAGTTTTATCAGGAACAGGGGAAGAATACATTGAGGGCTGAATCAATCTAAAGGTCCTGATGTGGCCAAGCCACAGCAGGTCAAGATCAATTTATTGTTTTTCGTTTCATAAGTAGGTTTTTCGAAGCAATGGAAAAATGGAACTACCAGTCTTTCATCAACTTAGATGAAATAAGCGAATAGAAGTAGTAAATTTGTTGCGCCTTATGATAGACTCAAGCTACGAATATCCTCGCCAATATCTTCCACTTTGTGCCAAAA